ACCCACCTCCACCCACCCACCCTATCCCATCCGTCCACCCACCTACCTACCCACCCACCCATCCACCCACCCACCTACCTACCCACCCATCCATCCACCCACCTACCTACCCACCCACCCACCCACCCACCGACCTACCTACCCACCCACCCATCCCTCCACCCACTGACCTACCTACCCGCCCATCCATTCATCCACCCACCTACCTACCTACCTACCCACCCATCCATCCATCCATCCATCCATCCACCTACTGACCTACCTACCCACTCAACCATCCATCCACCCACCCAGCTACCTACCCACCCACCCACCCAGCTCTCTACTCGGCCATCCGCACCCACCCACCATCCACCACTTAGCAATCTTCCCATCCATCAGCTCTTCCGCCATTCCCTTCCCAGCCAGCCAGCTAGTCATCCTCTCATCGGCCCATGTATTTCCCACCCACCCTTACACCCAGCCGCCCCACGTCCCTCTGTCCCTCAGTCTGTCCGTCCCCCAGGCCTGCCCCTCCCCAGCCATGCACCTATCTGTCCAACATCTCCGGGGCTCTTCCAAAGGGCCAGGATGGACTCCACCGTGCGTCCCCAGAACAAGGGGAACAGCAGGGCACTTGGGGGCCAGATGGGAGCTGGCGCCCCCTAGAAGGGAAAGGCCCCATGTCCCCAGGGTCACTCACCCGAAGGACCAGCCGTAAAACCAGGTCTGGGGTCTCCAGTCCTTGGGCCCCAGGTTGACAGCCACCTGGAAGACGGTCATGTACATCATGTGGGCCACCATGCCCAGGAGGCCTGGGGACAGAGAGCCTGTGACGAAGTGGGGGATTTTCTTGTTTTTTTTTCGTGTTTTTCCAGTGGTTTGCAAGCAGAGGGAGTGGGACTCAGTTTCTCTGGGGGTTACTGGTTTAACGAGGGGAGGGGAGAGGGAGTTTGTTGTTGCAGAGGACCGGAGAGGGAACGTGGGACCCAGCCGATGGCCTGGAGGATGGATACCCCAGCGACTGGTGACCTGACGACCTGGAGACCCAGCTCAGGAGTCACAGCCGGTTCTGGCCAGTGGGAGGACAATGGGCTGTGAAGAGAGGACCCCGTGACCTGACCAGCCGGTTCCAGCCAGAGGGGGCCAGAGGACAGAAGAGGGGAGAGGAGGCCCAGGGGACCCTGTTTACCTGAAGAGAAGACAATGGACAGAGGCGGGGCTTGGGGCTGGGGATCTCAGATGCCCAGCTGGGAAGCAGGGGGGTCGGGGCTGGAGAGGGGGAGCAGGCAGAGCCGACCTGGATGCAGGGGAGACTGGGATGTGCTGTGCTGAGAGAGGCCAGGCCTGAGGGCCCGGAGAGTTTCCTGTGCTGTGTTCAACGCTCAATAAACTCTCCTGTTTTACGCTGGCTGACAGTTGCTCCGGGCTAGAAATCAGGGTTGCATTATTCCCTCTGGGAATGGAGGCCCCGGGGGTCCAGAGTAAGTGGACTCCCTGAGGGGACCCACGGTGAGAGACAGACATGCTAAGGCTCAGAGAGGTGCGGCTCCAAGAGATGGAGGGGCTTAACCCTGGGAGAAAGTGGACCCCCGAGAAGGGCTGTCGCCCTGAAGGGGGTTCCCCCCACAGACCACACGGGGCCAAGAGTGGGCGCGACCTGTGAGTCTGGGACAGAGCTCAGTGAGCACAGGGGGCAGGGGAGGATCAGGGAGGGCAGTGGCACTGAAGGGGTTAATGGGGGGGGGTGATGTCTGGGGGCCATGGGAGTTTGGGTGGGGTGGCACCCGGCAGCACACTGATGAACGTAGGGGATGGGAGGCTGGGGGGGGGGGACAAGGGGGGAGCGGCAAAGACATTGGGGGGATGTTGATGGGCAGGGGAGCAGGCGGGGGGCAGAGGGGGCACGGGGGAAGAGTGGAAGGCAGGGGGGCAGAGGGCCCGGGGGCTCGGTATCCCACAGCACAGTGATCACCATGGTGAAGGTGTTGGGGGGCAGGCGGGGGGTGGGTTGCTGGGGGGCAGGTGGAGAGCCGGGGGGCAGGCGGGGACCGGGGCGCGCTGGTACCCGGCAGCACGGTGATCACCGCGACGAAGGTGTTGGGGGGCAGGCGGGGGGCTGGGGGCAGGCAGGGGACAGGCAGGGGGGCTGGAGGGCAGGCAGGGGTCACGGGGGAGGCGGGGGGCCGGTACCCAACAGCGCGGTGATCGCCGCGGTGAAGGCGTTGGGAGACAGGTGGGGGGCAGGCAGGGGACAGACGGGCAGCTGGGGGACGGCGGGGGGACGGGGGGGCAGGCAGGGGACAGGCTGGGGGGCAGGCGGGGGGGGCTGGAGGGCCGGGGGGAGGCAGGAGGCTAGTACCCGACAGCACGGTGATCACCGCGGCGAAGGCGTTGATCTTGAGCCCGGCGATGAAGTCTGCGTAGCAGGTGGCGTCCAGTCCCATGAGCACGAAGCCGACGCTGAGCAGGACGATGTACAGGAACTCCGACGCCACCGACAGCCACAGCACCCCTGGGGGGCACCCCACGGTCAGCACAGCCCCCCCATCCCGCCCCCCGGACCCTCGCCTCCCGCCTCGCCTCCCTCCCACGCCCTGCTCTGCCCCAGACGGGACGGGGGCTGCTGGGTGTGTGTATCGGGGGGGCTGCTGGTGTGTGTGTGTCAGGTGGGGGGGCTGCTGGGGTGTGTGTATCGGGGGGGCTGCTGGTGTGTGTGTGTCATGGGGGGGCTGCTGGATGTGTGTGTGTCAGGGGCTGCTGGTGTGTGTGTCAGTGGGAGGGCTGCTGGATGTGTGTGTGTCGGGAGCTGCTGGTGTGTGTGTCAGTGGGGGGGCTGCCAGCTGGAGCCCCCATCCTGGGGGTGCCCATGGGGGAGCTCCCAAGCTGGGCCCACCACATGCCTCTGGCGAGGGCCTTGGCTGGCAGGAGGGGAAAGTCCCGTCCCGGCTTTGTCCGTCTGTCCGGCCGCTCACCTTTCTCCGACTCGGGGGGCAGCTCTATGAAACTGCGACAGATCTCGTCTGGGGGGGGGGCGGGGTAAGGGAGAGAGAAAAGAACAGAGTGTGAGATCAGCGGGACGGAGGGGGCACAGTTCAACCCCCCCACCAAATCTTTATTGGGTTTACCTTGGCGGTGGGCTGAGACGCGGCCACATCAGGGGACCCCTCGCCCGACACTGAGATGTGACCACCTCTGGGGTGGGGCGCAGGGGCTGGGTATATAAGGACCCCTCGCCCGACACTGGGATGCAGCCACCTCTGGGGTGGGGCGCGGGGGCTGGTATACGGGGACCCCTCGCCTGACACTGAGATGCAGCCACCTCTGGGGTGGGGCACGGGGGCTGTTCCTACCTCCGTGGTGCTCCTCACAGGAGAGCCAGAAGCCGGTGTGGAAGTACCGGAAGGCGTACTTATCCTCGCCCGTTTCCCAGATGTACTGCACCACATTGGGGTCCAGGGTGGCGTTCCCGGCCTCCGTCTCGTTGGCCCCGACGGGCACACAGTTGCCCTTCCTGATGGCCGACAGGCACGGCGGCTTGACCACCTTGTGCGTCCCCTCGCACCAGTAGCTGGTGGCGAAGGCCGACACCGCGAAGCAGAGGGCCAGCGAGTTCAAGGCCAGCGCCAGCAGCGAGCGCGTCTTCCGGCTTAGCTTGATCATCGTCCCCCGGCCTCCGTCGCCACAGACCGTCGGCTCCCTTCCTAATGTGCCTCCCCCACCCCCGGGTCGTTCTCTCTCCCTCCCACTCACAGCCAAGGATTCAAATCTCTCCGGGAAAGAAAGTTTCTTGGATTCCAGACGGCGATTTGGGCTCCCATATGGCCCCTTCCCTCCCTCCCCAAATTGGACGGGCAAGGCCGATGCTCCACGCTCCGCAGACTGATCGGTTAATCCACTCTTAGCGTCTAGCCTGTCTTGGAGGCAGGAATCAAATCTTTTCTCCTCGCTGCTCCCTAATCCAGCGCTGGGTCTCTGTCTTCCCTGCAAAGCTGCGGCGAATTATGTAGCATCCAACTCCCCGTTCCCCCCCACCCCCAACCCGCTGCTTTATTGGGCTAAAGATCAGCTGCTCAGTTCGGGGTTGGAGGCACTTTGGGGCCCTGGTAACCCACACACCTCCTGGGTGTGGTGCTCTGGCCCATCAAGTGGCACGGAGACCACTTAGAGATTAATGAGTCTGCTCGCCAGCCAGGTGGCTTTTAGCTCATGCAGTGAAGGCTCACGCATTTAGCTCCCGAGGTCCCCGGTTCGATCCCGCCCGCCCGGGCGTTACACCGTCTTCGGACCGGCGCTGGTTCAAAAGAACAAACTCCAGCGGTTGTGGAGATCGGGGCGGCAAACGAAGCAGCGTTTGGGCTACCTGCCAAAAATCGGCGTGTGACTGGCCCGATTTGCCGCCACAGGGCCAGGATGAGCGGCGAAGAGCCAGGCCGTCGAGAGCCTTAGATGGATGCCGAGTTACTTGGGTGGAGCCCACAGAAGAAAATTGCAAGAGAGTCTGAAATCCAGTGACTATCCGTTGCTGAGATCGGGGAGCCGGACGGGGTTGGGAGTCTTTGGCTCTCACGCAGTCTTAAACCGGGTGAATTTCGGGAGGCAAAGTTTTGGGCGCACGACGGTCCGTCATTTGGTCCCCAAAGATTTAATCCGTTCAAAAGAACAACACCCCCACCACACACACACCAGACTGAGTCTTCAAGCCGGAGCGTGTATCAGGGAGTGCGACTCAAAAGAGGCCGTTTTGAAGACACTTTGAGCCGGGCCTTTCCCTTCAAAGGAATGAAACTCCAGCAGAGTCTGAGATCTGGCTCACCTCAGCTGTTCAAGCCAGGGAGCGGGGCCGGGGCCGGGACTGGATTTTGCATCGCTCAATAAAACCGACGCGGCTCTTCGACCAGGCGACGTTGGCTACCGGGCTTGGGGGATGCAAAGGAAAAGCGGATCCGCGAGGAATTGCTCCGTGGATTGGAACAGTCTCAAACCGGACCCGTCTCCGCTGGGCTCCACACCCACAGGACGCAGCCTGGAGTCTGGCTGGCTTCATAAAATCCGCGGTCCCCTGCCCCTTGTGTCCCGTGAGCCCCTCGAACGGCCTCTGCGCCTGGCTACGACCCTTGATGCCTGCTGGGCTGGGGACTGGGGAACCGCTTCCCCCAGGACTGAGCCGCTGAGGGGCGGGGGACGACACACCGCGCGGCTGATTGAAAAGCTCTTCATTAGCGCAAAGGCGCCCTGGTGCCGAGGGCTGTGGATTAGCATCTAATCAATTGGGGGGGGGATACTCAGCTTGATCCCCTCGGCCCTGCACAGCTGGAGGGGTCAGCGGGGGGCAGAGAGAGGGAGAGAAGTGGAGGGGGTAGATAGATAGATAGATAGATAGATAGATAGATAGATGGGCTGTGTGGAGATAGATAGATAGATAGATAGAGGGGGTGTCTGGGGATAGATAGATAGATAGATAGATAGATAGATAGATAGATGGGTTGGCTGGGGATAGATAGATAGATAGAGGGGGTGTCTCGGCAGAGGGGGTAGGTGAGTGGATGGAAGAAAGAGAGTACCGATGCTCAGGAGACAGACAAAGAAGGGGGATAAGCATCGTGATGGATATAAACTGAACATTAGGAAGTTTAGACTTGAAATTAGACGAAGGTTTCTAACCATCAGAGGAGTGAAGTTCTAGAACAGCCTTCCCAGGGGAGCAGTGGGGGCAAGAGACCTATCTGGCTTCAAGACTAAGCTTGATAAGTTTATGGAGGGGATGATATGATGGGATAGCCTCATTTTGGCAATGAATTGATATTTGACTATTAGCGGTAGATGCCCAATGGTCTGTGATGGGATGTTAGATGGGCTGGGATCTCAGTTACTACAGAGAATTCTTTCCTGGGTGTCTGGCTGGTGAGTCTTGCCCACATGCTCAGGGTTTAGCCAATCGCCGTATTTGGGGTCAGGAAGGAATTTTCCTCCAGGGCAGATTGGCAGAGGCCCTGGGGATTTTTTGCCTTCCTCCACAGCGTGGGGCACGGGTCACTTGCTGGAGGATTCTCTCACCTTGAGGTCTTTAAACCACGAGTTGAGGACTTCAGTAACTCAGACACAGGTCAGGGGTTTGTTACAGCAGTGGGTGGGTGAGATTCTGTGGCCTGCGTTGTGCAGGAGGTCAGACTAGACGATCATAATGGTCCCTTCTGACCTTAAAGTCTATGAGATACACACAACAGAAACGATCCCTGAAAGCAGATCCGTATGTGTGCATATGTGTGTGTGTATCTGTGCGCACACTCCCCGCTGCCCCCTGCTGGGGGGGGTATCGCCTCACACTCCCCGCTGCCCCCTGCTGGGGGGGGGTATCGCCTCACACTCCCCGCTGCCCCCTGCTGTGGGGGTATCGCCTCACACTCCCCGCTGCCCCCTGCTGTGGGGGTATCGCCTCACACACTCCCCGCTGCCCCCTGCTGGGGGGGTATCGCCTCACACTCCCTGCTGCCCCCTGCTGGAGGGATGGTATCTGCGCACACTCCCCGCTGCCCCCTGCTGGAGGGATGGTATCTGCGCACACTCCCCGCTGCCCCCTGCTGGAGGGGTGGTATCTGCGCACACTCCCCGCTGCCCCCTGCTGGAGGGGTGGTATCGCCTCACACTCCCCGCTGCCCCCTGCTGGGGGGTATCTGCTCACTCTCCTCGCTGCCCCCTGCTGGAGGGGTGGTATCGCCTCACACTCCCCGCTGCCCCCTGCTGGGGGGGTATCGCCTCACACTCCCCGCTGCCCCCTGCTGGAGGGATGGTATCTGCGCACACTCCCTGCTGCCCCCTGCTGGGGGGGCGGTATCTGCGCACACTCCCCGCTGCCCCCTGCTGGGGGGGCGGTATCTGCTCACACTCCCCGCCGCCTGGGCTGAGGGTGCCAGCCGGCTCGGGTCCGTATCGGGCCCCACAGCTCCCCCTATGTACGGAAAGGGACCGACCGGCTCCTCTGCACTGGGGGGAGTAGAGGTCAGTGGAGGGAGGGGTCAAGACACAGGCCCCCCCACCCCTGTTTCCCAAGGACAGGGGAGGGGACATGGAGTGCAGGAATGGCGGGGCAGGAATAGGGCAGGGCAGGGATAGGATGTATATGGGGAACCAGCTGGGTTACAGAGGGGCAGCTTGGGCTGGCTCAGGGGCAGGGAATGGGGCTCGGGGCCTTTCCCCTCCAGGGGGCGCCAGCTCCCATCCAGGCTGGGCAGTGGAGGGCAGAGTTAACGGGGGGACCCAGCCCCCCCCTCGAGCTGAGGGCTGAAATCCCAGGGGATTAGGGCCCAGCTGGCAGCAAAACACTGCCTGGCATGTTCCTTTCATTAAGATCAACATGTCAGGGAGCCAGAGCATTTCCCCTAAAGCCTGGGAGGCCAGGGGAGATTTAAACACAGGGAAGTAATTAGAGGAGAGAGACTGAGCAGCGGGACAGGAAGTGGGGGGGGGGGCTGGGAGCCCGGACTCCTGGGTTTTCTCTCTGGCTCAGGGAGGGGAGAGGAGGGGGGGTCTAGTGGTTAGAGCAGGGGGGGCTGGGAGCCCGGACTCCTGGGTTCTCTCCCTGGCTCAGGGTGGGGAGAGGAGGGGAGTCTAGTGGTTAGAGCAGGGGGGGCTGGAAGCCCGGACTCCTGGGTTCTCTCCCTGGCTCTGGGAGGGGAGAGGAGGGGGGTCTAGTGGTTAGAGCAGGGGGGGCTGGGAGCCCAGACTCCTGGGTTCTCTCCCTGGCTCGGGGAGGGGAGGGGGGGTCTAGTGGTTAGAGCAGGGGGGCTGGGAGCCAGGACTCCTGGGTTCTCCCCCCGGCTCTGGGAGGCTCCCAGGCTCAGGCCCCCATTGCTAGCATGTGTTGGAGTTACAAATTTGCTCCTTCCCGCTCCCTGCTCAGCCCCCGCCGCCCCCGGGGGTTCTGGGCCCGCACTGGGGGGGGGGGCGGATGGAAAAAGCCCATCGAATGACCCACATTAGCTGCAGCCCCACCTCAGCCCCTGCTGCTTAATGACACAATTAGCAGCGGCAGCTAATCAACTGAAGGGGACGGGGGAGGGGGGGCAGTGGGGAACCCGGCACCACAAAACACGAGCCCAGCCTCATCCATGTTGCCTCAGGCTGTTTATTTTTGCAGGGTTGTAGGGTGAGGGGGGATTTGCCACCCCAAATCTGTCCCAACTCCAGCCCCTCCCCTCATTGTTCTTTGCTCCTCAGGCTTCTAACAGGGTGGGGGGCAGTCGCCACCCCACACACACAGCCAGGGGCATGCGGTGTCTCAGTCCCCCGCCAGCAGCAGGAGGGGGCCGTGCAGGGCCAGCGCCCCCAGGATCAGGCCGGCCACCAGCCGCCCCAGGCAGGGAGCGTGGAGTTGGGGGGCAGCGCCGCGGCCGTGGGGCGGATCCGGCCGGCAGGGCAGGTGGTCATGGAGTAGGTGCTCGGGCGCAGCTCCTGAATCTGGGGGGAGGACAGAGGGGAATCAGAGGCGCTCTAACCACGCCCCCCACCCCCGAGCCAAGGACGGAACCCAGGAGTCCTGGCTCCCAGCCCCACCCCCACTCTAACCCACTAGACACCACCCCCCCCGTCCACCCCCCCCCCCGAGCCAAGGGTCCAGTTGATCTCCCAACCCAGCCCAGATCAGTCATGGCCTGATGGCTACGTATGTGTGATGAATTTGGGGGGCCTCAGCCTAGTTCTCAAACAGCCCCCCCCCCAGCAGAGAAGTCGAGGGATGGATGACGGAGCCCCCCCTACCCTGCTCCAGGTTTGGGGTCCCCTGAGCTGGTGTCCAGTCTGGGGGAGTGGGACAGAAGGAGTGAAGGGGGGGTCTCTGGTCTAAGGGGGTCCCAGTCTTGGGGGGAAGGGGACGTAGGTGCGGGGGTCACTGATCTCAAAGGGGGGTCTCTGGGGTTGGGTCACTGGTTTTGGGGAGTCTTGTTTCAGAAAAGAGGGTTTCTGTTCTGGGGGAGCTACTCTCAATGGTGCAGATGCTCTGTTCTCGGGGGGGGGCTGTGGGGGATATGCATTGGGGGGGTCTGCACCCTGGGAGAGGGGTTGGCTCTGCTGTTAGGGGACCCTAGGAGGGGGGCTCTGATGCCGGGGGGGGGGCTCTGAACCCGGAGGATGCTATGCTCTCGGGGGGGTGTCACGGGATGGGGGCTCTGCACCCAGGAACGGGGGCTCTGCACCCGAGGGGGCTGGTCCCTAGGCCCCACCCCATCCCCAGCTCACCCCGCGAGCGGTTCCAGACGAGCAGACGCAGCTCGCCCAGGGCCTGGCTCAGGTTTTGAACCCGGCCCTGCAGCTGGGCGTTCTCGCTCTGCAGCTCCCGGATGGCCTCCTGCAGCTCGAAGGGGCGCCCCCCGCCCCCCAGCAGGGCCAGCAGCACCAGGGCCCCCCACAGCCCCATCCCACCCGCCCACGGCCCCGTCCCGACTGAGCACCGGAGCCAGCCCCGCGCCCCATCGATCCCCGGCCTGCGCGCCAGCCCCGATCAATGCACCCCCTGGGGCTTGTTAATTACCAAGCCCCACAACTGGCTCAATGAATGGTGCCCCTCACTCCCGACCCGCAGCCCCCTGCTACCCCGGCCCTGGGCTCCCCCCAGCTCTGCCGGTGCCCCTCACTCCTGACCCGCAGCCCCTGCTACCCCGGCCCTGGGCTCCCCCTGCCGTCTCAAGGCCCCTGCTGAGCTCAGGCCCCCACAACGGAGCAGGCTGTGGGCTGGAAGTGCAGATTGTTGCTCACTGGATTATTTTCCTTCCACCGCCGCCCTTGGGGGCCGAGAGCTGAATCTGCCCCCCCCGAAAAGCTGCTGCATCCAAAGCAAATCTCCAGCACACACCCCCAACTACCCCCAACCCCAGATGGGGCAGATCCCAGCCAAACTCTGCCCACCTCCTACCCCACAGCAGCCGACCCGCACGCTGTTTGGGGAGCAGGTTGGCCTGACGCAGGCTAAGGCTGCCCATTCATAGGGACCCAGCGCGTCTCTATCCCGGCTCCCCGAGGGGGATCGAGGGGCTAACATGTAACTGGGCTACGGGAGCTGGGAGGTGGAACTGGGCCTTTGGCATTGGGAAGGGTTTAGACTGAGGCACTCAAGTTTGCAGGGGGGCAGCCCCAATCCCCTCCCAGAGCCGGGGAGAGAACCCAGGTGTCCTGGCTCCCAGCCCCCTGCTCTAACCACTAGACCCCACTCCCCACCCACTGTTTTCTTCTCCCTCCCAGCACTGCAGTCAGGTCCCGCTTTGGGGGTGGGGATGGAGCGAGTTGGGGGGGGGGCACAGCTGTGGGGCCTGCAGGGATAGATCTAGGGCTGGGTATGGGGCAGAGGAAAACAGCTGTGGCGTGGATATGTCCCCGGGAGGGGAGGGGCAAACATTGTTCCAGTCGGGGCAGAGAGGCACCTCCAGGGGAGGAGGAAGGTGGGGACAGCGGGGAACCCGGCACCACAAAACACGAGCCCAGAGCCCAGCCTCATCCATGTTGCCTCAGGCTGTTTATTTTTGCAGGGTTGTAGGGTGAGGGGGGATTTGCCACCCCAAATCTGTCCCAAGTCCAGCCCCTCCCCTCATTGTTCTTTGCTCCTCAGGCTTCTAACAGGGGGGGGGGGTCAGTCGTCGTCCCCCCCACACACACAGCCAGGGGCACGCGGTGTCTCAGTCCCCCGCCAGCAGCAGGAGGGGGCTGCGCAGGGCCAGCGCCCCCAGCAGCCCTAGGCAGGGGGCGTGGAGTTGGGGGGCAGCGCCGCGGCCGTGGGGCGGGTCCGGCCGGCAGGGCAGGTGGTCATGGAGTAGGTGCTCGGGCGCAGCTCCTGAATCTGGGGGGAGGACAGAGGGGAATCAGAGGCGCTCTAACCACGCCCCCCACCCCCGAGCCAGGGACGGAACCCAGGAGTCCTGGCTCCCAGCCCCTCCTCTGCTCCAACCACTAGACCCCACTCCCCTCCCAGAGCAGGGGAGAGAACCCAGGAGTCCTGGCTCCCAGCCTCACCCCCACTCTAACCCACTAGACACCGCACCCCCCCACCCCCCCGAGCCAAGGGTCCAGTTGATCTCCCAACCCAGCCCAGATCAGTCATGGCCTGATGGCTACATATGTGTGATGAATTTGGGGGGCCTCAGCCTAGTTCTCAAACAGCCCCTCCCAGGCACTGACAGCCCGCCCTCCCCAGCAGAGAAGTCGAGGGATGGATGACAGAGCCCCCCCACCACCCTGCTCCAGGTTTGGGGTCCCCTGAGCTGGTGTCCAGTCTGGGGGAGTGGGACAGAAGGAGTGAAGGGGGGGTCTCTGGTCTAAGGGGGTCCCAGTCTTGGGGGGAAGGGGACATGGGTGCGGGGGTCACTGATCTCAAAGGGGGGTCTCTGGGGTTGGGTCACTGGTTTGGGGGGTCTTGTTTCAGAAAAGAGGGGTTCTGTTCTGGGGGGGCTACTCTCAATGGCGCAGATGCTCTGTTCTCGGGGGGGGGCTGTGGGGGATATGCATTGGGGGGGGTCTGCACCCTGGGAGGGGGGTTGGCTCTGCTGTTAGGGGACCCTAGGAGGGGGGCTCTGATGCCGGGGGGGGGCTCTGAACCCGGAGGGTGCTATGCTCTCAGGGGGGTGTCAAGGGACGGGGGCTCTGCACCCAGGAACGGGGGCTCTGCACCTGGGGGGGGGCTGGTCCCTAGGCCCCACCCCATCCCCATCCCCAGCTCACCCCGCGAGCGGTTCCAGACGAGCAGACGCAGCTCGCCCAGGGCCTGGCTCAGGTTTTGAACCCGGCCCTGCAGCTGGGCGTTCTCACTCTGCAGCTCCCGGATGGCCTCCTGCAGCTCGAAGGGGCGCCCCCCGTCCCATCCCAATTGAGCAGCGGAGCCAGCCCCATGGCCAGTAGAATCCCGCCAGCCACGACAGGCACGGTCACTACACCCCCCATGATTGGCCGCTACCGTAATGCACCGAATGAACAATGAACAGCGCCTAGCTCCCAGGACTACCGCAATACACCTAATAGAAATATATATTGGGAGTCAAAAACCTCACCCACCCCCCGCCAACTGGGGGGACGTTGTAGGGGGGGGGCAGGTGCATGGTCCCTGGGCTGCAGGGGCCGCTGTGGCGAGGAAAGATTTCCACACATCCCCGTTTTGATGTGGGTGGGGAAAGGGGGGCTAGCGCCGGAAATAGCCGAGTGGAGCCGAACGCGCCCGAGGGGCGGTGCCGGAGATTCCCGAGCGGAGCCGAACGAGCCCGAGGGGCGGTGCCGGAGATTCCCGAGCGGAGCCGAACG